CCTGGGCCGACTCTAACAGGCTCTTTGCCGGCATCCCCAGCTGTACGCCAAGCTGCAGGCTGTGAAGGCCGAGATCCAGGACCAGCATGACGAGTACATCCGGGTGCGGCAGGACCTGGAGGAAGCCCAAAACGAACAGACACGGGAACTTAAACTCAAGTGAGTCCTGCTCCCCTTCGTGGGATGTGCGCGAGACAGGCCCTGCGGCCACCGTACCGTTCGGGCAGAAGGACGCAGGAGGGGCAATGTTTACGGGGATCGTGAAGCATGGAACATGGCACTTAGCAGCTAGTAAAAGACCCGGATCTGAATCTGCAGGGCTGGGTCACGTCTCCAAGAGTATGAAAATAATTGGCCAAGGAGCGTTCTGAGCCTGACTGGGCTGCTCCTTTCCCCAAACCTTGAACTCTGGGAGGTTCCGGAGGGTGGGAAAACCGAACATGGTGCTAATATTTGAGGAGAGTAAAGGGGTTAAGCAAGGTAGACGCAGGGCTGCAGGCCTGATGTTAGTCCTGGGGAGACAGAGGGAGGCGGCTGTGGGTCTCGCCCCGTACAAAATGGAGGGGGGTGGCGTAATTAATGCCACTCGGAACGGTTTTCTGGAAAGTACTGTAGGGCTCACCAAACGCACCTACTCTTCCGTTACGATGAGGTCCCACGTTCGCTCGCTAAAGGTGACCGTGGGGATACAATAGCCTGAAACGGTAAGGCATTTGACTTCGTCCCCGGCAATTTTCTGATTTTCCAAGATAGCATCATACATAATCAGAGGACTCCTGCACAATGGATTAGAAACTGACTAACTGAAGGGTTGCAAAGTGTAATTGTACATGAGGAACCCTCCTCCCAGGGGCTGTTTGTAATGGGGGATCTGTTCGAGGCCCAAAGCTAGTCAATATCTTTATCGGCACTGCTGGGAAACACATCGAATCACTCGTGGCAAAATCTCTAGATGCCACAAACGTTGGTGGAGCACTAATTAGTCGTGTGGACAGCCCAGGTACACGGACCACTGGTTCGCAGACAGTCAGTCGGGATGCCATGGCTGGCATTAGACATCGGGGGGCCTGGGACTGGGGCCAAAGCCCGAGCTGCACCCCCTAACGGAACCCCTGCCCAGGGCTGAGCTTCAGCTCCCCCGACAGTGCCCCTTCCAGGGCTCATGCAGTAATTGTTGCTGGCAGAAGGGGGTTGCAGTGCAATGACGTTTGAGAGCCCTGCTCTAGTTCGACCTGGATCTCTTGGTAATATAGGCTCATTTGAACAGCCGACATTTTAGTACCACCAAATGCAGGGCCATGCACCTGGGAGCAAGGTGTGTGTCACCCTTATGGGGGCTGTGTCCTAGAACGTGCCACATTGGAAACTACGCCAGTGTCCTGCGGGTAGCTAGGGACAGGATCTGCCTGTGCAATGTTGTAGCTACTGGTCCCAGGCAGTCCCGGGCTGTGTGAACCAGGCGATATGGAGTGGAAGCACTGCCTTCAGACACTGGCCAGCGCCGCTGTCCGGACTCCAGTGTGCAGCGGCAGTCAAAAAAGCAAACAGAATGTTAGGAGTCAGTAAAAAAGGGATGGAGAATAAGACCGAGAATATCTTATTGCCTCTGTATAAAACCACGGTGCTTCCACATCTGGAACACTGCACACAGATGTGGTCACCTCATCTCAAAAAAGATCTCTTGGCATTGGAAAAGGTTCAAAGAAGGGGAACAAAAATGCTGAGGGGTTTGAAAGGGGTCCCACATGAAGAGAGATTGAAAAGACGGGGACTTTTTGGCTTAGAAAAGAGGAGACTGAGGGGGGATATGCTAGAGGTCTGTACATTTATGACTGGTGTGGAAACAGGGAATAAAGAAAAGTTATGTACTTATTCCCACAATAATAAGTGGGAATAAGTAAATAATGATGGGGGCTAATTTAGCTACAACTAATCAGTAAAGAGATCTTGGAGCCATCGTGAATAGTTCTCTGAAGATGTCCCACAGTGAGCAGCCGTGGTCAAAAAAGCAATCAGGATGTTAGGAGTCATTAAAAAAGGGATAGAAAATAAGACCCAGAATATCTTACTGCCCCTGTATAAAACTATGGTACGCCCACATCTTGAATAGTGTGTACAGATGTGGTCGCCTCACCTCAAAAAAGATATTTTGGCCTTGGAAAGGGTTCAGAAAAGGGCAACTAAAATGATGAGGGGTTTGGAACGGGTCCCATATGAGGAGAGGTTAAAGCGACTGGGACTTTTCAGTTTAG